AACTGGTAGTTTCGAACCGCTGACCTTAAGGTTTGCAGCCCGATTCGTAACCACTACGCTACCAGAGCTCCTTACTTTGCATATTACTTGACAGGAAATAACCCTTTATATATAATTGGATAGAAACAAAAAGTGACTGAGGGATTTATATGAAGAATTTGCTATATAATTCTATTATGCTATTTCCTCAATTAGAGGATTACATTTTATAAGACCCAGGCCACTCACCGTTTCTATGAGGGGAAGCTCTCAGGGTGAACTTTTTGTTGTTCTTTATTTTTATTTGTTTTAAGTGATTGTAAATTGTGGCATTACAATAAAAAAATGTATAAAGTAATACAATAATATTAATTGGGGGATAGAAAAAAGACTGTTGCTGTCCTTAAAATTGGTCAATTCAATTGTACCCTTACAAGTCAAGGAACCCTGGTGGTACAATAGCTAAGTACTCAGTGTTAACCATGTGGTCAGTGGTTCAAACCCACCCAGTTGCTCTACAGAACAAAGACATGGAGATTTGCTCCCAAAGAGATTATTATTGTTTTTGTGACTCATAGTGACCCTGTAAAGGTTTCCGAGGCTATAAATCTTGACATGAGCAGAAACCTCATCTTTCTCCTGAGGAGCAGCTGATGGATTTAGACTGTTGACCTTGTAGTTAGCAGCCCAGTGCATAACCCTCTCTGCAACCAGGGTGCCTATGGGTCAGATGTACTCTGTGTGCATAACCCTCTATGCAACCAGGGTGCCTATGGGTCAGATGCACTCTGTGTGCATAACCCTCTATGCAATCAGGGTGCCTATGGGTCAGATGCACTCTACTGCATTGGATTACTATGAGTTGGAATAAACTCTACAGCACAGAACAGTGACAACATATATTTTTACATGTACATCAGAAAAAAATATATAATCTAATAAATATAATTATGCCAACTTAGATTGTGAGACATTCAGTATACTTAAAAGCCATCACAGCATGACATGACCCAAGTAATCAGAATAGAGCTCATTTCAGAAGGTGATTAATCGCCTTCCCTGTGTTAAGGAAGCCAAGGCGCCAATGTTCTCTTTATGTACATATATTATTCAGTCAGTACAACCGTATACGTTTTCAGTTTACACATTGATTTAGTCTTCCACAAAAATTATAGATATTACAATGAGTAGGTACTGGAGAAAACAAGCTACAGAAATGACAACATAAACAGGATATCATCTGAGGAATAAATCCCTTACTGTTAATATGTAATTGGAATTTCAGATATTCATTTATACATTATCGATTTTCTGAGATGATTGTGGGAATTGGTGAGTTTTAAGACATTACAGTCTATTAAATCACATACTTATATTGAGGCATTCTCTCTATGTGTATATAAGGAGGTGTCCAAAAATTTGTGGAAATTTTTAAATGTTTGGAGTTGAAAGATAATGAAATGTTTCCATAAACATTTGAAGCCCCTCATGTATCTATTCAGTTATATAAATGTGGTATTGTAGGATAAGCACTGGATTGCTAAGACAAAGGTCAGTGGTTCAAACCCACCAGCTCCTCCTCAGAAACACTATACAGAGTTGCTATGAGTTGGAACCTACTCATCAGCACTTCAACAACATATATATGTGGAAATATAATTTAAAAGAAAATCTACTTCTATGCCCAACTAAGAAAACCTCTCCATAAAAATTCAAAACTGGTTGTATCATTTTGATCTGACCATAGTTCAGGTGAGTGATGATTAAAATTTTGAATAGTTCAAGAGATGTCTAAAATTTCAAAGAATATGGGCTTGTGTTGATAAAGCATTTTTTTAAATAATCAATTTGCTCTTGAAACAGTAAAATTTGAAGAATCCATATTAAAATTATTATTCTATAAATGTGAGGATAGAAAAAACAAAATACAGATAACACAAGAACAAAACAAAATGAAAGCTAACTTGAACACATATC